TTTATGTGTTTAAGATATTGCAGGTCCAATTTTTCTGATACTATTCTCCCTTTAGATTTCAGAAATGGTCAATACAAAGTATCATTGTCATGAGGGTCTTCATATTTTGCATGCATTTAAAAGTTTTGCTTGTGAAATAAATATTAAGTTTAAAATAAAAATTAAAGATATAATTTTGTTAAAACATTTATGTACAATTACTGCAATTACACACACACATACACACACTCTTCAGCATATCTATTTTTTAGTGTTAATTGTCTTTGTGATTGTAGACTTGGGACATAGCCTAAACAGAACACAGTCTGGAAAGCATGCCCCATCATATGGCCTGATACACTCAAAGTCTGAGTAAAGGAAATGGCATACAATGAAGAGTAAACAACCCTGTTTGTACTCTTTCATGCCTGTCTAATTTCTACGTGACCTGAATATTTAGCTTCTCATGATTACATAACACTCAGCTACTTACTACCAAAGTAGGATATAGCCTATTTACACATCAATAATTATAATAGATTATAATTGCCTCTTTCCTGAGAAACTTTCAAACAGAAAAGAATATATTCCCTATGTAATGATAAATCTTACTGCCAGCCGCCTGAGTTCTGCTTGAGTTCTGCCCGCCATGTTAGGGCCCCAAATAATACACAGAGACTTAGGTACAATGCTGCTGACCAATGACTAGGATTCCTTATATGCTTGCTCTGTCTTAAGTGTCAACCATAGCCATAATGTATATATTTATAAAGACTTATCTGATCGAGGATGCCAGTGGCATGTGTCCTTTCTTGTCGGGCTCACATGGCAGATCCAGAGAAGAGAGGAGGAGGAAGAGCCTGAGTCTGCCTGCTATGTCACTTCCTTCCTGGATCACAAGACTTCTTTACTACATTTCTCAGAATCATCCTTGACTCCTAGTCCCACCTAACTTGATGCCTCATTGGCAGAACAGTGCTTTATTCAACAACCAATAAGATAAACATATACAGAAGGACCTCCCCCATCATCCCTATATGATATTAAGACATCCTCAGTGCTGCTTGTCTCTTTTCATTCCCATCCTCTGTGCTGTTCCTTGCCCTCACCAGTTACTGCACAAACACAGCACTGTTTTTTACTGTTTCTCTTTCTACAGCTCCTTCTTCTACTTTCCCCTAAGATCCCTTTCTGCCTTCCTGCCTTCTGTAATTCCATCAGATTATATATTCACATTTAATGTTTACAGCTAAAATCCACAAAAATGAGAGACTACATTGTTAATCTTTCCAGGTCTGAGTTGCCTCTCTCTGTGTAATATTTTCCAGTTCCATTCATTTACCTTTAACTTTCATGATTTCTGAGTATATGAAAAGATGTGCAGAACTTACATGCAAATACTATGTCATGTTACATATGGGACAAAATCGTTCATTAATTTTGAATCACTTAGGTTTCAGGATCCTATCTTCCATTGAAACTTAAAGATTTTGTGACTCCAGGTCCATTTTCCTTATCTCCTCTTTTACTTCTCTCTAATTACTACTGTTTTGGTCAGTTGATATAAGAGATGATATTATACTCGATAAGGCAGCGTGCTGTTCCTGTATGCATTTGTAATTCCAACAATGATAGCAAAAGAACCACATTTCACATGAGATGATCTTCCAGCAATGCAAGCAAACTTCTCCCACAAAACTCACTGTCTCACATCTGCTTGCCTCCTAAGTATGGTTTCAAGTACCATTCTTGTCTCTCTATGCTGTATTAGACAATCAAAAAATTAACAGTGTCACATTTTTAAGAATTTAACAATCTGGACTACAGAAGACAACTTCCAGGAGAGAGAAGGGAAACAGGCATAAAATCACAAACAGTGAAGAATTCCACACCAACATAATAGGTATAAATAGGACAATGTAGTTAACCAGGAGAAAAACAAAGAGAATGATATGATTGAATTTGAGAAGATAATATAACATATATATATATATATATATATATATATGTTAAATGTACATCACATAAACACACAACTAGAATGATTGTTCTTTAATCCACTTAATGATGAATCAATAAATCTTTCATTAGCCACCTAAATTCCCTTCATATATGCTTCCCTAGTAGCTTTAGAATATTTTCTGTAAAAGCAATCATAGTTAATATTACAGTGATGTTTTCCAAGTTGTAATTTAAAAAGAAATAGAGAAATTTAAAGCATGTACTTATCATGTTTGCAGTAGAGAACATCAAGGAAAGACTATTAATATGAAATGGATTTTTGCCTTTAAATGCCTGCAATAAGTCATAGAACTGGTGACAATTTAAGTAAGGAGTTTTGATTTATATATTTAGGGAGATTCAGTGTGACAAGAAGATTCACTGGTCCTGAAAGCATTTGTAGAGTATACCCAACCTAGCTCATCTCCCAAGTTATAGGATTTATCAAGATGTCCTTAATAACAGAAACAGAGAATGACTGGTGATAAATTAGAAATGAAATGAATTATTCTCTTACTTCACATGTAATTTACATATTAAAAAGGATAGATATAGCCATAGCTTTTCTTCACATATCTGAGTTCCTGTTAATGTAAATTATGTAAAGTAAGGGTTGTAAGTAATTTTAGCATTGAAATGACCATGCAATACAAGAAAATATGTAGAAGAAAAAGTGTTTCTAGAAGGCCAAAGCCAACTAGTTCCTAAAAGCATAGGATATGGAATGGGGGCAGGTGGGAAGGGAGTTGGAGGGATCAAGTGGGGATATGAAGGGAGAGGATGTGCTGAGAGATGACTGGAATTGGGGGCAGGTGGGGGACATTGTGGAAACAGTACAGTGGAAAATTCCTGGCATCTATGAGGACTCATAGCAGTGGAGGATAATGAATCTGAACTAGCCATCCTTTGTAGCTTGGCAAAGCTTCCTGTGGGTAACCTGGTTGCATTTGGTTAAGATTTGGGCCAAGGGTTCTCGGTGGTGATCACCAAACAACATAGGCTAATGGCTTGGACAGAGAGTTTCTTTCTGCAAACTGACATCAGGGTCCCATTTCTGATGACAACACCACCACCTAGTCATTGAACGTGGAGAGGTTAAGCTAGTGAAATCTTCTAGTCTCTTTGCTACGAGAAGGTATGCTGCAGGCAACCAAAAGAGAATCCTGGATACCAGCCAAACCACAAAAGCTTCAACCTACAATCTGTCCAGCCTGCAAGACGCGCTGGGCAATGGTGTGGCAGAACTTGTGGGAATGGCCAACCAATGTCTAATTTAACTTGAGGCTCATACCACGAGAAAGACTCGATGCCCAATACTGCCTGCATAGTCGGGAATTGATGACTGAATAGCCCAGAGACCTAGAGAACTTAGCTGGCAAATAAATTCATAAAGAAAGAAGCAAACATATAAATAAATAAATAAAATGATTTCTAATGATATTCTCATATACTCATAGATCCTTGCTTTCTCCAGTCATCATCAAAGAGTTTCCTCAGGCAGCATATGAGAGCAGGTACAGAGACCCACAGCCAATTGGAGGTCTCCATCGGATCTGTCCCCTCGGAGCTCAGGGAAGATGATGAGGAAAGATTGTAGGAGTTAGAGGGGATGAAGCATACCAGGAGAACATACCCACTGAGTCATCCAAGCAGGCCCCATATGGGATCACAGAGAATGAAGCAACACGCATGGGGTCTGCATGGGTCTGTTCAGATCCTCTGGGTATATGTTATGGCTATTAACTTGGTGTTTTTGTGGAACTCCTAAAAGTGGAAGCAGGTGTGTCTCTGAATCTTTTGCTTAAGCTTGGGACTCTTCCTCTTATTGGGTTGCCAGGTCTAGCCTGGCTATGAGGCAAAAGACAGGGCTTTTGCCTTGTCTTACTGAATCTTGTTTTTGTTGTGTTTGGTTGTTGTCTCTTAGAAGTCTGCTACTTTCTGGAGGGAGGAGTGGATCTGGGGGAGAGGAGAAGTTGAGGGTAGTTGGGAGGGGGGGAGGAAGGAGAAAATGTTGTTGGGTTGTATTAAGAATCTCTTTTCAATAAATAATCAACTAAAGGAATACAGCCCCTACAATTTAAGATAAATTTGAAGGTTGTAAGAGATATTACTATCAATATATGTTATGGGCAGACATAGTATGAAAATATTAGTCCCTGTTGAAAAAATTCAGACTGTCTAGACTATGGTCAAGTTGAAGACAGGAATAGGCAAAATGAAAAGAGAAAGATGCTTTCAAGTGAGGATGTGTACAAAAGGTAAAAAGTATAAATATGGAACAATGAAGAAAAATAGTGGAGTATAATTTAAATGTGTGATTTGCTACTTGGTTCCCACCATTTGTGAGCAGCTTGGAAAGAAAGCTCTCTCTTCTATGACATGCCAGTGAGTTATGCACAGCCAGAGGGAGAAATCAGGAGCAACTTAATTTCACAAATCTTTAAGAGCAATGTTTGCAGTGGCCATTACTCTATTAAGATGAGTTTGCTAATGCACAAGGAATAAGGCTGACACAATGACATGACTGTAAATGCAGACTCAAGCACCAGCACACCTGAATCATGTCTGTCTTTCACTATAATATAGTGTAGAGCATGAACAGGCAGCAACAGAAACCATCTAATTAAGTCAGGTTAGCTATTGTTTTCAGATCGTGTGAGGTCATATATTGTATCTGTATACATACTTATATTGCTTTTGAATGTTTTCTAATGTGTTTGGTGTATTTCTAGAGTTCTGAGTTAAAATAAACTAAATACAATAATGTAGTAAAATTAAACAAAGAAAAAGAAAACTAATAGGCATCTAAGAAACAATGACAAGATAAGCTAAAACAAGAAACCAAAGAGTTGTAGGACAAAATAAACAGAAGAGAAGCAAAAGAACCAAAGAAAAAGATGAGAAACACACATAGACACAGAGCCACAAACATTCATACAGAGAGGGGGAATAACCATAAAACAAAACTGGAAGCCATAATATATACACAAAAAACCTGTAAGATTAAAAAAAAGCCCGCCCCAGAGTCCGGGAGTCAAAGCCGGTTGTCAACCCAGACCTGTCCCGCACTCATCTGCCTTTTCTTTTTCTCTCAACATGACAGATGCCGCTGTGTCCTTCGCCAAGGACTTCTTGGCAGGTGGAGTGGCTGCGGCCATCTCCAAAACGGCGGTAGCGCCCATCGAGCGGGTCAAGCTGCTGCTGCAGGTGCAGCATGCCAGCAAGCATATCACGGCAGATAAGCAATACAAGGGCATTATAGACTGCGTGGTTCGTATCCCCAAGGAACAGGGGGTCCTGTCCTTCTGGCGTGGTAACCTGGCCAATGTCATCAGATATTTCAACACATAGGCTCTCAACTTTGCCTTCAAAGATAAATACAAGCAGATCTTTTTGGGTGTGTGGACAAGGGGACCCAGTTTGGGCACCGCCTTGAAGGACCTAGGGTCTGAGTGGTGCAAGTGGTCGGGGCGAGAGGGAGCTGAGGCTTGGGGCCGTCCCCAGCACCGAGAACTAGCATAGGGTAGCCTAAGGGACATCGTCTACCCCGGCTTCAGGGTTAAGGGCAGTAGGCCTGAAAGCAGGCGCTGGAAAACAACACCTGGCCTTACCGGGTGCCGCTGGGGCCACATCCTTGTGCTTTGTGTACCCTCTTGATTTTGCTCATACCCGTCTAGCAGCTGATGTGGGCAAAGCTGGAGCCGAAAGGGAATTCAAAGGCCTTGGTGACTGCCTGGTTAAGATCTACAAATCTGATGGGATTAGGGGCCTGTACCAAGGCTTTAATGTGTCAGTCCAGGGCATTATCATCTACCGAGCTGCCTACTTTGGTATCTATGACACTGCAAAGGGAATGCTTCCAGATCCCAAGAATACCCATATCTTCATCAGCTGGATGATTGCACAGTCCGTCACTGCTGTTGCTGGCCTGACTTCCTATCCCTTTGACACGGTTCGTCGACGTATGATGATGCAGTCTGGACGCAAAGGAACTGATATCATGTATACAGGCACAATTGACTGCTGGAGGAAGATTGCTCGTGATGAAGGAAGCAAGGCTTTTTTCAAGGGTGCATGGTCCAACGTTCTCAGGGGCATGGGTGGTGCCTTTGTGCTTGTCTTGTATGATGAGATCAAGAAGCACACATAATTATGTCTTAGGTGTCTCCCCAAGAGCAAGCATGTTGTACAATACACCATATCTTGAACATTCTGGACAGATTCTCTGGGCTTGTCTGTTTTATCAATGGCAACTACTTACCAGTTGAAAAGTGGGAAGCAATAATATTCATCTGACCAGTTTTCTCTTAAAGCCATTTCCATGACAATAATGATGGGACTCAATTATATTTTTTATTTCAGTCACTCCTGATAATAAATTGAAGAAATAAAATATCTAAGACAAAAAAAGATTAAAAAACAAAGATGCCCTGACAGAAAAGTATAAGTCAAAGGATCTCTAAAGGTGCTGTTGAATTGTTTTCTGTTGGCCAACTACTGCTGGCCATCCATCCTACATGTAAGAGTGGTGGTTTGTTTTCCTAGTGAGACTCCTTGGAGAAAATAAGTTTCCATTTTCAAGTGGTTCTCAATTGGAGGTAACTTCTGGGTTATGGATGGAGCATGTGTCCACATTTCTTCTCAACTCTAGTCGAACTCCATCTGTTGCAGACTTGTGTAATCCCTATGCCTAAGCCTCTGTGAGTTATTTGTGCCTCCATTGTGCTGTGTTTCGGTCTTTTTTCATTGCAGTATTCCTTTCCCTCTGCTATCACATTCTTTCAGCCTCCTCTCCTGTGGGTTACCAGAGTCTTGAGGTAAGATGTTTAATGGGAGCATACTGTTTAAAGATATATAGGTATTGCAAAGTCTCTCACACTATTTACATTATCTGGTTCTTGGTCTCTGTGCAGGAGGAAGTTTCTCTGATGATTGCTTAAGGAGTCACTGATCTATAAATATAGCATATTGTCATTAGGAGTTATTTTATAGCTACATTTTGTTAGCAGAATAGTATTTGTTTTCCCCTAGGTCTCTGGCCTATCTAGGCTTATGTTATGACCTCCCAAGCATTATTGGCATAGTTTCCATCTCATGGAGTGGACATTAAGTCAGTTCAGATTGTGATTAGTTAGTTATTCCCATGAGCTCTATACTACTATTATATACCAGTATATCTTTTGGGCAAGTCATCACTGTAGATTGAAGGATTTGTAGCTTGGTTTGTGTTTCCTTTTTCTCCTTTGGTAGTGTGCAGAGAACCTTCTACTACCATGAGCATGAGTTCATAGTGGTAAAGTCTTAAGGAAGGCTACAGCTTGACTTCTCTGTGTTTAATCAGTTGTATAAGTGTTGTCTTCAGCAGCATGGCCTTATTGTCAGCTTGTGAAGGCAATCAATAGCCATCACAATCCAGCTTGTGTTGTTTGGGGTTTCTCACTCCACATGATTGTAAATACACTTAGGACTGCTAAGGAGAAGGTAGTCCAGAACTATCCAACTGGCTATAGGTATAAAGAGGTCCAGAATTCCAACTTCTATGAGTGTTTTGCCTATTTGGCATGAGATATTGGTGATAATAGCTCCATTTGAGTAGTCCAAGGGACTATTGACCACTAACCCCCTTGCCAGTCCTTCTGTATGCAACTCCAATAGAGTCATTGGTTTACCAAGTTGGACTATGTTGGTACCCTTACTTTCATGTCTTATTGGTTCTCTATGAGGTAAATAGATTTTTTTTAAATCTCCACAGGAATAGAACACAGTAACTTACTCATATCTTTTTAAAGTTGTCTAAAGGTACACTCCATTTTTTGATTAAAGAAATTGCTAAACTACTGAAATTTGTAACAACTATCATTTATAATAAAACAGACTTGCATTATATGAAAACCCAATGAAATGTATTTTAGAGGGAATTTTAGAATCATTGCATATGACACAGAATGTTGTCTGAGGCCTAGTTAGCCCCAGTTAACCTTTATAATAGAGTCCCTGGAAGATACATTAACAATAAAACTTGAACATATGAAACAATGTTTCCTGTGGGACCATAAGGCCTGGGGCTGGTTTTAAATTTTGTGTCGTCACTCCCTAAAGTATTTTGCTTCTGACCTGAACATTGTTTATCGCTCTAACTTTATGAGCCTGTCTCCTCTATTGTGTGGTGCTAACACCCAAATCCCACAATCAAATACTTTTTGTATATTATCATTTAGATCACTCAAAATTAATAAGCTTGAGGGTTGTCCAGAATATTAGGATTCAGTGTGTGTTTTCTGGCATTGAGGAGTTGATGTAAATTTCCAGTGCTCACCCAGCCGGAACTGCTGTTGTTTCTGTGTGAGCCACACTTTCAGAAACACTATCAAAGGTGCTTAGAGAATGCAACCAAAATCTATAAGATGTTCAAAATTTAGTCATGACCATTTCCTCTGGTTCTGATATGCTAGCTATTTATAGTAAACACAAATTTCCATTACTATTACTAGTTTTTGTAGTTATGAGTAAAATTGGTGATTTCACTAGGAAGATACAACCAGCTACTCCTTAGCACCAAGAGCATTTAAAAGGCAGTAGAGCTGATAGCCATGATTAACAGGATTTCAATTCATAAATAGTCAAGTGTGGGACATTTAATTCTTACCAGAATTTAATCTTATTAATTGTGGTTATTTTGTTTTGGGAAAATCAGCAAAAATTTTCTTTAGAAGAAAATTTCTTTTTGATGTTATTGAGTATAATTGAGTTCATAATCTCTTATACTTTAATTTTAACAAATTTCCTCATGAGTCCTAAACTTCTGAAACATTGCAAATCCAGATTTTCTTCTGGTGTAAGAATATATAGGCACATTCAACCTATAGCTTTGGCTTGGGAACTGATATTGCTGGTTTTAAAACACAAGTTACCTTTGCAAGACAACCACATCCATCACACTTAGGAATGAAAGACCAAAGGGATGTGCAGGAGCTCAATTTTGTTGGAACTTCTTAAACAAATCTTCTATGGACAGCACATTCTTGAAACCTGTGCGTCCCCATCTCTTAAGAGCCATCAGGGAGATCTGGACTTTGGCACTCCACAGCTAATGGAAATCAGAGGCATTTGTCATCATGGTGACATTTTCTTGCATGAGGCACAAAGAGAACAAAACAAAGCTTCCATTAGAAGTTGATACATAGGAAAGGGAAGATTATTCACTATACCTAAATGGTGCTATCACAAAGATAGTGTTTAATTACACAACAAAATAGCTATTTTACAAAACTATAATGTCAATTAGAGTCTATCTGTTTTTGTAAAAGTACTGATCTTGGGCCCACAGATGTCTACTGCATAACTTAAAGCAACCTGGAAGCTCAGCACCTCTGTTTTCATAGTGCATCACTTTTCTGGTTTTTCTACCTTAAACTTTGGGTCAGGTTCCTGCTCAACAATGCATCTAGACATGGTAATCATACAAGAATTACATATGTCTATTATAAATTTGCTTATTCTATCCTCAAAGATGTAGACACTCATATAAAATGAATAAGAATATTTTCAACATTTAAAGGACCATAGCATTCAACAGATTGTCAGTTTCCCAATTTTTATATCATCCTGTTCCAGCCTACAAGAGCATTGCTTGGAACTCTTCACTCATCAGTCTAGAATAGAGTGAGGGTGTAGCAGTTTTGCCCACCCCTTGGTGTGTGGCCTCAGGCAGACGGAAGAAGAAAGAGGGAAGCTTGAGATGTGACTTTCCTTTGCTGGGTCTTTCTGGTGGGTCAGCTGATCCATTAGGAAGGGCAGAGAAATGCTCCTGTGGTTCTTTGTATTTTTCTGTGTAATTGTTCCCTAGTAAACACCCATTTATCATTTATCTTGGATCTAGTGATATTACATCCTCACCTTCATGAGGGTCTATCCTTTGAGACCAAAATCTTCATTGTCCTTTGAATTTTTCTTCCATGAGTCCTTTTCTCCACAAATCACTTAAGATGCCAAAGCAACAGATCTGATCTATAAACATCTTGCAATAACAGCTCATAATATCAACCACATCACACACTGAAGAATCTTTCTAACTTCCTGTAGAACTTCATCTATATATGTATCTTGAGTAATGTAAAGATTATCAGCTACCTAAGCCTCATGGGGAAATAGAATTTATAGTAAACTCCTATTTGTGGCTGTGACTGGCCTACTGAAAGAGGTGATCAACCCCAATCTGTTAAGATCCCTCATAGCCGGGCCTCTGGGATATCCCCAAATATAAGCAAATTATACACTTCATAAAATTATGTAATTAATATATGATACAAATTGCATTTGTTCATAAAGCAACACCTTTATATACCTGATTGATTTTGGGGGCCTGGAGAGATGGCTCCAGGCTTAAGACTATGGACTACTGTCAGAGAGAATTTTGGTTTAGTTCCCAGCACCAAAATGGAGAGCCATAACTATTTCCAACTCAGTTCCAGGGTGTTTCTCAGAGGCATGACTCATGGTCAATTGAAGATAATCCCTAAAGGTGTACCTAGAGGCTACTACCCCAGATGATTCTGGATCTTTTATGATGATGGAAATCAATACAAATCATCCCATTGGGGATGCCACTGGCATATCATCCTTCAAAACCAGTAACATATATCCTTAGTCATTCTATGCCCTTTGAAAGGCAATAATAAAAGAATGTGTGAGAAGAATTAAAAAATATTCACAACAAAGTAAATACCATTTTCCAAGCTACCCATTGTCAGTGAGAAAATTTTATTTCATAGTTTCAGCTTCTGCTGCACCAAACACTTTAACTTTCTTATAATTTTATTTTTTATGTTAACTGATTTATGTAGCACTAAAAATTCATTTATTTTCATTTGACTTGTTCAAATTTGTCTGGTTCTAGGGTTAAAAATGAAAAAAAAACACAAGAAGCTACTGATTGAGAAAGCAAACAAAATGTGTTATTAAGAGATAAGATGTTAGATTGTAGAAATTATATACAAAGACTTTAATTACTTCAATATGTTTATTTTAGGGTATTCTAAATGGACCTAACTGCTCAGAAAATCAATTTACACAGGAAAAAAATCTTGAAGACTAATTGTTTTTGAGAGTGAAAAGAAGGTTAGACATTTTGCTTGGTTGGTTTTTAGTCAAAGATAGCCCATGTTTCTTACGACATGTATTTAGATATCTTCATTTATTCAAGTGTTTTGTATA